CGGGCAGGGCGACGGCCGCGGGCCGGTCAGGGGCCCGGCGGGCAGAGACCGCGCAGGCAACCTGCTCTTCCCGATAGTTGCACTGTAGGAAAAACCACGATGTCAGCCAGAGTTTAAGTGCTATATATATAGTATGGGGACAAGAGCACCAACTCTGAGGATCTTTCTTTGACCGAGATGTAAGGCAGTTTAAAACAAAACAAAAAAAAAAAGCACCCTTATTCTGAAGAATGCTGTCAGCTGAAATACTGTCCCCCCACAGCCCTTGCCACTGCCTGACCTTGCTGTAACAACAGAATACCTGTAGCAGTTGCTCTGGGCCTCCCACCTCCGACATCATTAACTGCACCCACTGAAAAGGTCAGTCCTGCAGCTTCAGAAGGTCAGTCTATTTTTATTGCCTGGAACTACATTAAAAAAAAATTGCTTCTCAGTTTACGGTCACTATGCTATACTGTTTATTTTTTTGAAAATGTAGTATATTTTGTGGAACTAAGTCTGCAAAACAGAATTTAGATATAACTCTCTACTCCTAATCATCATATGCGTTTCCTTATAATTGTGCCTCTTGTTGTAACGTGTTCATCCAGTTGAAACGCATTTAAGGCAGTCCAAAGGCATTCATGTTTTTATAAACACTACTCTCTCCAAACCAAAATGTGTTATCTTCTGATAGGCAATTTTTCTTTCCCCCTTCACCTACTCCTCCCTCTGAATGTTTTAAGAAGTCTGTTCCTCATTACGGTTCACATTTTTTGTATCGATGAGAAAGGTTCTTATGTCTGCGTAAGTGAGCATGTCAGCTTTTATGACTTGCTACACTATTCACATCTCTAGAGGGACTGAGGGAAAATCTCTAGGGAAAGCTGCCCCACTCAGTTTGTGCAGGTCCCCTAACGTTCACCTCAGTGAGACTCATCCAGATATGAGCTGAATTTGTTGCTTTCAAACTGGATTATTTTACATGGATGTTTCCTTGTGGCCCAGAGGGATTCTCCCTTCTTCCATATCCTTCTTAGTCTCCTTATTCCTTCCTCAGTTTGCTAGCCTGTCCTGTACGGAAAAGCACACAGACTTGCATGTACCAGAAGCACAGCTCTATCGGTATGTTAATTGTTTTCTCCAAATTGGAGATGTTCTAGTAGAGGTGATATAACATAGGGATGGGAAATACATGAAGTGCCAATAGGTACAGGAGTAGTAGGAACAAAATAGACGTATATAGTTGACAGGAAGCTAGACCATCTTCTTTGCTGCAGTCCTTAACAGGCTTCAGCGTCCAGAAGTGACTTTGCAATCTCGTTGCCACAAAACCTCGCACAAGCGCCTCTTCCTCCAGGCTTGCTATTGCATACTGCGAACAGGGCAGGATTTAGAAATCTCGTGGGCTGCACATGCAGTGTGAACAGTTCTAAGAGAAGAAGAGCAAATAATGCCCACATAACCAGGCCCTTTTCATAAGTAGTTACCCTAAAGGGCAAGCTCGATACGATGTGAAAAACAAGGGAAACCAAAAGGGTTATTACTCAAGGCAGTTTCACTGCTGCCACTGAAGTTTCCCAACATGAATGTTTCGTTTTCTGTACTTACTACAGTTGCTAGGTTTGTGCTGCACACGTTTCCACTGTGCTATACATTAAGACATATTTTGAAAAGTATCCAAGTTTATGAGAAAGGATTTTTAAGTTTCTGAAAACAAAAATCATTAGGAAACCAAACTAACATACAGGCTCTTAATTCCAAATCCTGAAACACCGTTTTGACAAACTTTTGTTACAGCAGCTAAAATAGCCATCAGCAGTCTACATGAAGGACTTGATTCACTACAGGGCCAAAGTTCATAAAGTACTACTTAGTCAATTAATTGTTAGAGCAGTATCATCTCGTCGGCCTTCAAGTCAGTTTGAAAAAAACTCACTGTTACAAAGCAGACTGAGTAAATACAGATCAAGCTTAAGCAGGAAGGCAGGTCAGTCTGCCTCTGTCCTCCATCAGCGTCACCTGATATGCAGGCACATCGCCTAAAGCCTCTGGGCCTGCATTAATTGAGCAGAGGTAAACTGAGCCTGCCTTCTGCATACGGGAACCACCCCAACAAAACATCAGTGCACAAGTGCTACCGTTTAGCGTTACAGATACTGTGTAGGCCACAGCCTGCAGCAGTTGTGCACAGCATTTGCTACGCTGTCATCTGAATTGTGCACTTCACAGTGCCGTTTCACTGCCAGCTTGCAGTTTTTCTCTGTGTGATGTTTTATATACTGCAACAGGAAAGGATCAATAGTTACTTCAAAATAAGAGTGGATACCATATCGATGTTATTAGCAGGAAATATTTTTTGTGTTTTTTCAAGGATATAAATACTAGAATTCTTCAGTCTCTTGATAGATGCCTTCCTAGCATTCCCCCCCACACCCTCTTTTTTGTTCTGCCACGCAGTATTACAAAACACTTATTCTTGCAAAGGAAAACAAGGGAACTATTTATTCAATCAATGGCCTCAACACAGTTTGGGAAACCTGTTCACTGGATGTCTAATCACCTTCAAATCGTATTGCTCAAAGTTTATGACTAATATTCAGGAACGTGAAGTACTTATATGACAGTGCTATTTTGTTTTTACGTAACAGAGCAAAAGCTCTCGATACCGACGATAAAAGCCAACACAGAACTTAGCTGAACTAGCTGAAATAAAAAGCAGGTTTTGTTTGGCCTATATGCAGGAAATAAGCAACTTCTTAAAATTTAAAGTGCTAGCACAGTTTTTCCTCGATGCCTTCCTCTCCTCAGCAGTAAATTTATGAAGAAACACTCTGCTATTACTTAAACAACCGGAAGTTTCAAAGGTGTTGAGTCTTCTGCCTAGCTTTTGTCTTCTAATGGGTAGATCTCATTTAGAAGTGCACACCTGATTTTGAAAGATAGTTCTTTCTATTTATTTTAAAACCATTCCCTTGCAATTTGATTAGACTACAGCCTTTTCTGTGAGAGATCTTTACTATGCAGTGGCTGAAAACAAGTACTGTTATTACAAAAAATTACCGTTATTACAATGTAATATTGCATTATACATCTCAAGAGTTTACACTTGGGCCTTGGACATTAGAATCTAGCATTGAGAGAGAATATTGGCCAGAACATAGAAGTAATCACCTCTAGCCTATTTTTCTTTAAATTCTTTCTAAATACCAAAACAGATTGAAATAGCCTGATAGGTATGGTAAAGTAGGTTGGAATAAAAACATCTATATAGGTAAGAGATCAAATCAGGTGGAGAAGCTAGGACACTAGCATAGGCAGTTTGTTCTTACTGAACATGTAAATGCCCTTTACTCTAGTTACTTGGCAGTATCTGTTTGACCTTTCAAATATGAACTCGGTGTCATTAAGAATTTTTGGACTGAAGAAACGTTTTTGTTTTGTTTTTAATCCTAGCTCTGCCACTCTTAACTGTGAGGCCTGAAACAAGCCGTGTTCTCTGTGTCAAGTTCTGTGTAAAGTTAGACTGACATTAATAGTTTTAAAGAGAATTTTAAAATTTAATGTGTTTAAATTTAGTTATAAAGAAGTCCAACTAAAATTTTATTGTAGTTAATATAGCTTTGCACATAATTGCATAAGACAGATTTGACTGTGCTTTAGCTAACAGCATCACATTAATTTGATATTAACGATCTTTAGAGAATGTGATGATTTGGCAAACGATTTTAAACTAAATGTATGAATGGTATTTTTGCACCATTTAACTTCGTTGACAAGTGTAAATTCAGTTTATTCGGCCAATCTTGAATCTAAAAGCAGAACGTATTACAGCAGTTTACTGAATAGTTAACAAGAGTTAGACTACCACAGATATTTTCCTTTTTAATTAAAAGACAGAAAGACAGACAGACAGACTGACCTAGGTAATAGTTTCACATAACAGGAGGTTATCTGGAAGCTAACACTGAGGTCAGTGGGCTGGCTTTGCAGTCTTTCAGTGCATACAGAACTGGAGCCATGGTAATTTGATCAGACTGCTAGAGAGTATGTTACATTGCAGAAGGGCAGTATTTCACCAGATTTATGACCGTAGCAAGCATTTGTTTTAAAAGAGCGTTCTCATCTCTTTCTCATCTTCATACCTTAGAATAAATTCCTTTTTGCCAAATCACTTTCAGTCCCGAGCCTCTTTCAATCAGTGTTTCCATTTTACCACAGTACACAACTTAAAAAAGAGCAGCAGAAGCAGGGAAGATAGTATAAGAGTGGTTGGCACCAGAATGAGGCAAAGCTAAAATTCAGACTGACAAATCTAATCTTTCTTTTTTAGCAACTAGCGCATCTAATTCAACATTTTCAATAGAACCATCACTAAATGCTAGCACCAGAAATCTAGAGTCCCTACTTAATGTTTATCTTCATGTTACAGTTAGACCTTTTGGTTAGCCATGAACTTGAATTACTGCTCAGAAGTAACTTGCTCATAGCTGGGCAGTGGTTCCTACATGAGCTCACAGGAACTGAGAATTGCTGTTGCTCAGCTGTTCGGAGTATCTTACCTCAGTGCAAGCCAGTGGCTCTCTGTTTACTACAGCTGTTTATTAACTGAATTAAGTACGCTGTGCGTTGAATTAAGCAGAGATTCTCTGGAAAAAGTGGCAGGTGGTCATTGTATCCTAGTGCCTATAGAGACCTGACGCAAGTTAACATTAAGCAATCAACATTAATTCTGGTATTTCGGGTTAGCAAGAGAATGCTTTTTTTTTTTTTTCTTAAAGTTTTCTTTAAGGTAAAGGACATGGACCTCTTGGTAGAAAGCTGTTGTGCACATACTTCAGCTGTTAATGAGTCAAACTAGAGATACAAAAAGAAAGTAGGTTTCTGTGTAGGCGTTAGAAGTGGAAAACCTTCTTTCACTTAGTGGCTGATGCCATCATGTGGATAGTTAGGGTTATTGACTACAAGAAGTGAAATTGGTTCACTTTTCTTTTACATTTAAGTAAATAAATATTTTTGTATAAATACATTTCCCAGTATGAATTTTTGTTTGCTACATAGAACAATTAAAAGAAAAAATAGTAAAAGTAGAAAAGGTTGATTAGTAGAAAGGCATAAAGACCAAAGAGAAATATGCATATGAAGAATATATCTGGAGTATATTTATCTAGTTTGTAAGTCAGTGGTAAATCATTTGACAAAACTGATTAGTATGAAATAGCACCAAAGCTCAAGGAAAAAGAATGAAATTAATTACGGAGAAAAACATGTCACCCTACATTATGACTTTTCATCTTCGTTTATTGCCCTTGAGGAAAGGGAAGTAAACGAAGTTTGTTTCCATGACTCAAGATTCCCCTCTCTTTGGAAAAAAAGAATTATGAAAACTGCTTTGATAGGAAAACTTCTTCCTATCTAAGATAATATTATTGTCCCTAAATACACATTTAGCTAAGACAGTTAGGCTGAAAGGATTGGAAAATGCTGAAGCTTTGTGCTAGGAACAAAGGATACATAAGAAGGAGATCAATAAAGGTAGGTGTCAGGAGAGTTATCTTCACAGAAAGACCCGCCTCCTGCATGTAATCAGCCAAATCTAAATGCACAGACTTGAAGAAGCAGTGACAGTATTCACTGTTGGCACATCATTTGCAGTAGATTAAAAGCTTTTTCTAGTTCTTATTTTTAATGCTAGTAATACATTCCTAAAGAAAAGTTGATACAGCAACTTCCATCTCCCACAAAAAATTGTTTTCCATAGATACTGATTCAGACTTGTATAACAATTTTATTTCCACTTAGTGTGCATACTTGATGAGGTAATTATTTCTATATATAGACGTGGCTTTAAATCAGATTATGGCAATTTGTTTTTAAATGCATGCTCATGTGTCAAAACATAAAATATTAGTAATAAAAACTTATTAGGTACAAGTTTTCTATAATCAAAACAATCTAAAAGGGATGCAGCCTTTTTGCACTTCACTGGATTTGAACTCAAGGGATGTCTTGCAGTGATAATCTCACCAGTGAAATATAGACACAGTTTTGGTCAGTATGTGCATATACAGAACTTGGGCAAGGGCTGACCTTATAAAGTACCACAGAGTTAGCTTAGTAACTAAGAGAAGAATGGATTACAAAGATCATATACAGAGCTTCTGCTCAGACAAAGCAGGGATGGCTCATTGTTTTCCATATTCAGGCTTAAAAAAATAGCACAGTACCAGTATATTCTTTGGACTGATGATTCTTTACCTCTGAAATGCAATGTTCCATCATGGACCAGGAATTCTGCCAATAGCACACGTTGTTCTAATTTGTTCAGCCCAGAACTGAAGATGCGCAGGCTCTGTTTGTACCACATTTACCAATTTTCAGACACAGCTTCTTCTCGAAGGTCCTTTCAGGCCCAGGATACTTCCCAATGAAGGCAGCACACCATCAGCCATTAACTCCAGTTTATACACACTTTTACGCTATACAGGATGCATAACTTTTGATCATGTTACGTAGGGACAAAAAAAGTATTAGTTACTTGCACTCTATAACAAAGTAATTACACAGTACTGTAAATTACTTTATTAGAAATGTTGTTCTATCACCGTCATTCCTGAAAATTGCCATGTGTTTCCTTCCATTTTATTTGACTATCTTGCGATCATTTTCCTCTTTAGTGAATCCACTGTAGGGTTGACCCTACAGGGGAAATAATAGGGAAATTTCTATAGGATTTCCTCCTATTCTGAGCTTACCACCTCCTAATGGTCATTTGTTCACTGCTAAGGAGTACATAGCCTGTGCTACAAGGCTCTGCTTAAACCTTGTTCAAGGTACAGAATAATGAAAGACTTTAATACTTTGTTTCCTCTCTCTTGCTTCATAGGCACACACCTATCCGTACATTATAGTAAAGATATAATATTTGTAATATATTTATATAATCTTTATAACCTTTTTCCAATTTTGATACCCTGGTGTGATAAAGGGGCATGAGAAAAATCATACTGTGCAGCTGGATCAGTAAAAAAAAATGTCTATGAAAAGACAAGAAGTCAGCACAATTCTTCTGGAGTACTGTACCAACCTGAAAGAGTTCAGAGAAATTTTATTTAGGAGAAAGGTTTATACTGTGTTATATATTGTAGAAGGAAAAAGTTGGATGAAGTTGGCTTTCCTTGTGATACATGGTATACGTTTTCTCTTTTGAGTTCCTGTTTATCTGAAAGATAGACATAGGAAACCATGCTTTTACTTAAAATTGATATAATGGATATAAATTGATATAATAATGGATATAATATGATATAATGAGGCAAAATGAGTGCAAGACAAGACACCTGTTCTGACATAAGTAAAACAATAATGCACTCCCGGAAATCCTTTTCTATATATGGTACTATTGATAATTTAAAAAAGCTACATGTATAAACACAGCTACTATGACAGAAAAAGCGTAAGTTAACGAAGAACACTCTACGTACCCACAACGAGGTTTGTGAAACAACTATTTAAAGGTACTAGTTATAAGAGCTCCATTCAAGGGCTTCACGTTTTAAAATACACCTCAATTCTTAGCAAAACAGTAGTAAAGAAAAACAGAATTTGTAAGTATGCTGTATTTTAGTAGATAGTACTTTTTAGGAAGATAAGACTAAGTTAATAGTATTTGAGATCACTGGAACTGCTCAGAATTAGAAGTAAGCAATTGAATTAATTGTGCCTCCGGAGAAGACATATTGTAAACATGAACATAGTATTTCTATTGTGTAGGAGGAGTAAAATTCCCTTTTTGCAGAAGGTCAGACCATAGTAATATCGCATTTCTGTTCAGTGGGAGGGGTAAAATTCCCCTTTCTGCGAAAGGCCAGAAAGAAGCCATAGAAAAGTCTTTAACAAAGTCTTTAACAAAGAAATGTTAAAGTGTCTGACTTTTCAGTGAGAATTGTCCTGAAAATATTAAATGTATGTTTTCAGTTTAAGTGTTCCTTACTCAAAACCAAAACCAAAACCAAAAACTTTGCTGTAGCAGGTTAGATTTCGTGGGTTAGAGTGCTGCCATGAGGCGCCTGCTTGTAGGTCTAGTGAGTGGGTCAGAAACTGTGGCAACTCCAGCTACCTCTTTGCCACAGTATACGGGGCTCATGTGGATGAGCTGTATGGGGTACAGTTGCATTTTTAGTTAGTAATTGCCTTTTTTTGCTGTTTTGATTTGTAAGCAGTTGAGGACCTTAGAATAAAATGAAGAAAAATAAAGCTCACAAAAGAAGCCTGCGTAAGTAGCTGCAGTTTCTGCAGTTACAGACAGTACACGTTGCTTTGTTGAAAGGAAAACCCTGATTTTGCAAGCATGTATATGTGAACCCCTTTAGGCGCATGAATGGCACGGCAAGCGAGGTGTGCGTGGCAGAGCTGCTGCAAGGACAATGCCTCCCTAATGCTTATGGGGCAAGACCGCAGTTGCAAAATCAGCACAGCCATGAGCCCTTCCAATGTTCCGAGGTTGCAAAGGAGTTTCACGCCCATCACCTATTTCATAGGACCCGAATTCTTCTGAGGACTCGTATGGGGGCAGCGAATGATTCGGAGTCATGCCGTTTTTCTAATTTGCGCTTTCTGTGAAGGCAGCGTACGTTTTCAGGTGTACACCACCTGCGAGACGTGCAGGTCTCGCACCTGCACGCGCAGGCGAGCGTGACGTTGCCCTTGCGGCTTTCTTCGGCGTTTCGGGTAGTTAAGGGAGAGCAGCGGGTGGCTGAGGTGCCGGAGCGGGGCGCGGCACGTGCTCCCGCCCGATTAAGGGCAGGCGCCGCCCTCCGCCGGCTCCTGGCGAG